CTTCAACTCCCACTGCAGTCTGCTCTCACACAATTGCATGGGCTTAATTTGCTGCTTTGTTGCGAAAATGCTAGGGACGTAATAACTTTTAAGCCCTCTTCCCTTTTTTAAGGCGACTCTGAAATTGGTCTGCGGGTTCAAAATATTTATGGGGGAGGAGCAAGGGTAACACAAAAGCCTCGCAGCCAGACGCATGGACGCACAGCGGGTTGCATAAGCCTTGCTTCGAGAGGAAACCAGGCTTAAAACCCCAGGAGATCTTGCAGTGGAGACATGGGCTGGTTTGCCACGCAGTCCCACTGGCTGCGACGGGGGCTCCCGGGACACCACACGTGAGCTAAAAAGTGTAATAAAATATTTAGCCCGCTGCAGCAGCTGGGGTAGCTCTGCTGCCCGAGTGCACCCGCTTGGCATGTCACTGCCGGCTCTCCCAGTGCCAGCGCCGGGGACGTAGGATGCGGCAGAGGCAAGCGGGTCCCCCAGCGTCGAGCAAAGCCCTGCCCATGGACGGGGCCGCGTCTCCGCAACAATGGAGGCGAGGAAAGGTGACTTGAAAGGGAAAGGGACCTTGGCGAGAGGCTTTGCTGGACAGATGTTAGCAGCCACGGCTTTGTGCTGGGGGAGGGCTTTTTGTTTTGGTTTTTCACATTTGCCATTTTTCTCCGACGCTTTCTTCTGCTCTTGACACTTGCTGAGGGTTTTTCTTTCTCTTCTTTCTCTCTCCTTTCCGCATTTGCTTTTTCAGCCCCAGTTCAAACACTTTTTCACCGCGTATTATGCCGAAGTTGAAACCATCTGGTGCTTTGTTTTGTTGTGAGCCTGGCGAGTGCCAGGACCTTTATCCCCCTCACCCTCCTCCTCGCCGCGACAGCGCCGGTGCCTCGCTAATCCAAGCGACAGCCCCAAAAAATCTCCGCCGTCACCCAACAAAGCGACTCGGCGCGTGTTTGCATGCGTGCAGCCAGATGGGCGATGGGGACAGGCAGCATGCTCGGTGTCCCCGTGTCCCCAGCCAGCCCACGGGGACGCGCAGCCCCCAGTCTCGGCAGTGCCGGGCTGTATCGCCGCAGTGCAAATTCCTGACTCATTTTTAGGACCGGCTGTTAGCAAAGGCATCCTGATTTTATTTTTTCCCCCTTTTTCCCCCAGGAGGAAAGCATGTTTCTAGGAGCCACGGAGCTCCGCCAGACACGGACCCCGCCAGCCTATTTTTGGAGCCCCCTTCCAGCAAGCAGCTGCATTTGAGGATGGCATTTGCAACGAGCGCCTTCCGAACGAGCTTGGCGGAAGGAAACCTGTATCGCCGCAGTGCAAATTCCTGACTCATTTTTAGGACCGGCTGTTAGCAAAGGCATCCTGATTTTATTTTTTCCCCCTTTTTCCCCCAGGAGGAAAGCATGTTTCTAGGAGCCACGGAGCTCCGCCAGACACGGACCCCGACAGCCTATTTTTGGAGCCCCCTTCCAGCAAGCAGCTGCATTTGAGGATGGCATTTGCAACGAGCGCCTTCCGAACGAGCTTGGCGGAAGGAAACTTCCGCTCGCCCATGCCATCGCATGCGACACCCGCCACAAAAAAAAAGGGGCATTT